CATCCCTGGCAGTGTTCAAGGCCAGGTTGGACACAGGGGCTTGGAGCAACCTGCTCTGGTGGAAGGTGTCCCTGCCCGGGGCAGGGGTTGGAGCTGGAGGAGCTTTAAGGTCCCTTCCAACACAAACCAGTCTGGGGTTCTGATGCCCAGCAAAGACTCTCTGCTCCCCAGCCCCTCCCCATCAGCTGCTCTGGAGGAGCCGCCCCCAAGAGCTCGGTGGTCCCTGGAGAACTCCACAGCCCCTGGTGCCGGAACGGCCCGAGGTGTGTGGTTATCTCCGATAACCCGAGTGCTGTGCAGCTTAAAGAACAACTGGACTTTCACATTTTCAGGCTAACTCTGGGGTAGTTTCTAAGCAACCTGTTTCCATGGCAAAGAATCCTGGGGTTAATCCAAGTTTGTTTTCTGGTGTTGCCTTTTTTTTTAAACTTAAATATAATTTTATTGGATTTTGCCTTGTGCAGGTGGCTCTCGGTGTACTTCAGCCCAGCATGAGGCTGATGGCTGTCAATCAGCATCCAGTGAACTACACAATCAAACCAAAGGAGGTATGCTGCTTGACCAATTTTGGGATCTAAAAAGGTCCAAAAATAGTTCGTATTTGTTCCTGTTGTGCTAAACCACTTATTCTTCCAGCACAGAGCAGAGTGTGGCTATTGTCTTGCCTTTTCTCAAGCTCTAAGCAAAGCCAGGGCACCATGGATGGGCTGGCAAAGGACAAGTCTGGCTGCTGCATCTCTGCCAAATGCTTAACTAGATTCAGTGCACCACAGGCTTCAGCAGGTACTGGGGAAATTATTTCTGGAGAAAACCAGGAGAAAGCCTCCCTTCCTACCCAGGCTGTTGATGGAAAGGTCAAATGGTAAAACTTCCAAAGCTGTGAGGGTGCCTTAGGAACGGAGTGTAAATTTCCAAACGGCCTGCAAAATGCAGAACTCTGAAGTGCTGGCACAGGCCAGTGACAACTTCTTAAGCTCTTTCTCTTCAGTTTCTTTTTCCCTGGAGTGAAAAGCTTGCCAGGGATGATGCAACTTAATGAACTGATGATAAGCTCAGATTTACACGTGGTGACTTTGCACCATCTCCCCCCACCTTGTTCCAGTGCTTGGGCCCCATGCCCTCCCTTAGCTGCTATAGGGTTCTGGTCATTGTACCTGCAGTGCGCTGGGTTATTCTTAATGGAAGGGCAGACACAGGTAGTGCTCCCTGGCTCCCCAGGCTCTTCTGCAGCAGGTTTTGGGGTTTTTTTTTTTAGTGTGTTTGTGTGTTGGGTTGTTTTGGTGCATTTTGTTTTTCTTTTTTCAAGCTTTGGGTAACACTCCTCTCCTGAATGCTCCCAGCAGTCATCTTACAATAAAGCCCGTTGTCCCATTTTCTCTTCCTCAGCCACGCTGGAGTCCTTTTGCTTTTTTTCCCCAGTGTCTCTTTTTGCCTGGTGAGTATCGCATGAAGCTGCACTTACAAAATTCACTTACTCCCACTGGTTCATCTAATAAAACTACAGGGTTCCATAAATGGGATTAAGCAGCCTCCTTGGGGCATGATAACATCCCTGGATGACAGCCAGAACTCCCTTCTTTTTTTCTCTTGTGGCTCCAACCTTGGCTAAAATTCCTGCTTAGCCCTTCGCATACCTGCAGGCTCCTCACCCGCTCAGTGCAGGGAGTTATTGGAGCTATGACTGACTTTGTAAGACCTGACCTTGTTCTTGGCAGGTCACAACTCATGAGTTGAATAAGAATCTAAAAAGCTGAGCAAAGGCCACTTAGTATAAATCAATATGGCAAGCTGGTTCCAAACATCTTTTTACCTTGTGTGATTTCTGCAGTGATAAAGCTGAGTTATGTGACGTATGCTGGCATTCAGGCTGTGGCTAAGATTAGTTCTGGCCCATCTGTTTTTAGAAGCATTTAAAATGCAGAATTCTTCATGTATCAGGTGATAAGTGCCCTTGCCTAGATGGAAAGGGCCTTACATGTGACAGCCCGTGCCAGTTTGCAGGATTGCTTTCTGGCACAGGGAGAGCGAGGAAAAGGGTGGGAGTTTACAGGAATCTGGTGCTTGAGCAGCTGGAGAAAGGAAATTGAGGAATGGCTGAGAAGTGATTCTTATCCAGCTGAAACCTTCTATCAGGTATTATAGTTAGAAGTGATTGTGATATGTTTAACTCTGATCCCTTCAGGCTCCAAGACCAGGGATCAGAGAGGACTAAACTGAAACAAATAGGAATGAAAAGTACAGGTGCTGCCATAGGCATGGTTAGTATCAGGCCAGACATGATGTGTGCCTCTGTGCATGTATGCGTCTGGTCAACAGAGCTACACAGGGAGCTGTTCACAAAGGCTTTGTTCAGTGAAATATGCAATGTGCAGTGCATCGGAGGCACAGGGAGCAGTGTAACATGTGGCATTTCCCTTAAAATAGAGTAAAAATAATATACAGGAGGAAAAACGTTGCTTGCCCTGAACTTTGCTGCCCTTTTCCTCCAACAGCCGTGAGCTTCCTTCACAGTACAGCTTCTAATGACCTCATCACATCACAGGGCTCAGGCAGCATTTCCCCCCAGCCCTACTGGGGAGGGAAATTGCACAGCTTTTCAGACTGCTTTGTTAATGATTTAAAAGCTTAAGGTTCCAAATATCTAGATGGATCCCGGTGTTCTGCTTTCCCTCCCAGCATTGCTTACACAGATGAAGGCTTTATTGTGCTAAGGGTATGCAAGCCTACAGCGAGGAGCCCCTCAGCAGAACAGACGCTGCTGAAGCCTGCTGCGATGCAATGAAAGCCACGAAGGTAAAAATAAACCTGCTCTCCCCAGTGCAGGAATACAAACAAAGGCACAGCTACAGCTTCTGAGCACGCTCCCCCTGAGCTGCTGCCCAGCCACACAAAGCCCTTCACCCCATGCACCCCGGAGGTCTGCGCTTGGCGAAGGGAACGGCAGCTCTTCCCTTTGCCCTCTGAAGTCCCTGCACCCGCTGAACCTGCTCCCTGCTGGCTCCCTCCCCGTGGGCAAGGCTGCCCACACAGAAGGGGGGGGGCTTCTACCCTGTCCTTCAGCAGGGACAGAGGGGCACAGCTCACCCATTCATGTTCTGTAACTGGGCTTGTTTTGTCTGCTGAAATCTCTGGCCCTGTGTCCAGGTGACAACACACGACAACAGCAATTTCTTATCCTGACAGCAGGAACATGCTGAGCAGGATCTTGTACGCCAAGCAGCAAGGTATGTCTGTCAGCACTTCATAGAGCTGATGTGTGTTCACCTAAACTGTTTGTGCTCTTCTAACCTCTCCCAGAGCAAGACTGGTGCCAAGACTGACAGCTTCCCAAACAACTCTCATGCACCTGGCAGAGTCCCGGTTGACGTGTTCACAGGGGCCCGGGGAAAATGGAAGGATAACAGAAGTAAATCCCCAGCCTGCAGAAGGTATTAACTGATAAAATGCATGGGAATGTCTGGCACATCCTCTTGCATAGCTGTCTTCTCCTGCAGTTTTATGCCACCGGTGGGCCTAGAGCCCCAAGTATTCCTGCATAGGAGGCAGTCAGAATGAAGCAAGTAGCTCATCTTCCCCCTCTGTCCCCAGATGCCCTGCAAAGAAATCTGAAAGTGAGCTGTGGCTTGTGGGCACGCTACCCTCTGTGCGTTTTGGGTAGTGGATGGTATTTAACCAGAGAAAGGGGTTCACTTCCATGAGACCCTGTCGTGCAGGACTCCAATGTGCCAGAGGGAGGAGTGGGAAAAGTGCCAAGGGAAAGGGGTGACCGACCCTGCTGCCTCTGTCCCTCATTATCTGTACACCTGATACAAAGGCATTTATGAGACGTTACCTCTGGGCAGCTTCTTGCAGTTTCCTGGGCTGCCTGGCGCTGAGGTAAATCAGGCAGGCATCTGCCACTTTATTCAGGTCACTCTCGCCTGCAGAAATGGGGCAGAGAAGAAGGGTAAGAGGTAACCTACTGCAGCCTGACAGCATCAGCTCTAAATTAGCAGCAAGAAGCTTCTGAGCTTTTTAACTGCCTGACCCAGAGCTCTTCTGACCTCGCCTCTTAAGCACCTTGCTGCCAAGCTAGGAAAGCAATCAAGGGCATTGAGAGAGGAAAAGAGCAACTGCCCAGCAAACCTTCTCCCTCACCAAAGTCAGCTCCAGGAATTTAACCTAGGAGAATTTCAGAGGGTTTCATTCTGTAGAAGAATGCGATGTACTGCATTTAAAGGGCCACCCAGAGAGACACCCCAAAATGTAACCAGTCAGGTTAGCCAGAAGTCTTAGCTGGGCTCCAGTTCTTCAGTTAACTGAGAACAAAGCATGGCCCAACAGGCCTAGCTGCAGCAATCCAGGAGCTCCACTTTGTACCCACTTCTCATGCACAAGTGAGATGAGCAGTCGGATTCTACAAGGTGCTGGGAATCTTCTCTCCCATTTGTCTCTTGGGGAGTAAAGAGCAACCAGCCCCTCTTTACAGAGCTCTCAAAGAGGACAGATGAAGGACCTAAATGGGATGAGGCTGGAGATCAGGAAATCAATCCCATGCAGGAGCAGAGGGATAAGAAGCAAGTGGTCAGTGCAGCTGAAAGAAGAGGTAAGTCTGTCGGGGATCTCGCACAACCTGCACCTCCCCTGGTACTCACCCATGTCCAGCTTCTCGCACAGAGAGCCCAGCCCCTGCAGCACAGCCAGCTGCAGCTTGAAGGCGAGCGTGTGGTTGTACACGGGCCCAGCTCTGGCACTCGCTGGGGCCTGGCTGAGGAGGGAGCTGGTCAGCTTGGGCAGGACATCTCTGGAGAATCTCTGTCTCAGGAAGTCCCCACACTTCTGAGCCAGGGTACACAGCACCTAGTGAGGAAGCACCGGTTACTGGAGGGTGAGTGCACAGAGGTCTGGGAGGAGCCCAGCATTCCACACCGGTGTGGGGATGTGGCATTCCTTCCCCCTGGGTAGCTTTTTGCAGCTGAGGGCAATGTGACCGCAACTGACATGGTTTCCCATAGGGAGCAGAAGGTGAATGCTCCATTAAGGGGCTGACTGACCTGCACCCTGCTCTTGTTTCACATGACCACCTCCTGGGACTGCCCTTTTCCCACCAGCACAGTAAAGGTAGGAGTAGCTTGTCAAGTTGTGCTCAGAATTGCTGGAGGAACCTCTGATGTAAGGTGCCATTAAGATATAAACCCCTTTGTAGTGGAAACAGCCCACCTCTACAAGCATGGCAGTCAGCAGAAAGGCTAACTGGCTACAGCTCCGGCACCCAGCACTATAGTGTATGCCCAGGAGAGAAACCAAACTGGTCTAGAAATGGCCTTAAATACATATGAAAAGGAAGGAGGGATCCATGGGGCCAACCTGTGTGGCCAGAATACTGCTCCCTCTTAGGACTTCACTAAGCTCATGGTCTTAGCATGCAGGACAGAGATGCTGGTCATGTTGTGCTTGGCTTACACCAATACTACGCCTCCTGTGTCAGATTTAGGAAGGAAGACACTCCTGGGGGATTCCTTATACACACCCCAAGCTCAGTGCTAATTGCAGTAGTGATCTCTCCTTCCTTTAGGGCAGGCAGTGTGAGGTGTGGCTACTCTGAAACGCTAGCGTATGGCTTCTTGAATTTGGGGAATCAAAACTCTCCTTTTATTCACTTTTATTCGCACTGAAGGATTCCAAATGCATCTCATTCTGCACAGCAGAGGAAGCCCTGCGGCTGGCAACCTCTGGAAACATGCTTTATTGTCCAGCTGGTGAGTCACGAAGAGAATGCAGTCAGTTGACATAGTCAGGAGCTCTTTAATACTGTGATTATGAGGCTAAGTCTTGGCTTAACCTCTCCCCTCCCCATGCCTCAATCCTGAAACAATCCCTTCTTTTCAGTGTGAACACTTCCAAAGGGGGGTGCTGAGGCTGGCTCCAGCAAGGGCAAGTTGCACTAGACAGTGCCTCTGACAGCCGCCTAGCCTGTAAAAGAACCATTTTCCTCTTCCCTGCAATACTCACTACTATTTCTCTTCCCCCCAGGAACAGTGTCAAGGTTTTATCTGTGGACAAGCTGCAGTGGGAGTGGTACAAGCCTTCCCACTGCAGGGTGGTGACCCTGTGTTCCCAGCCACAGTTAACATCACTCCACACGCTTAGTGCTTCTCTCACGGGCAGAGCAATGCCTGAGCACTTGGCTTCCAAGCACCAGCTTGAAGGCTCTTGGCAGAGACTTGCTGCTGTACCTTGAAGGCTCTGAGCACTGCCAGAGGGTCATCGTTGATCAGCCGGGTGACGAGAGCTGGCCAGGCACGGTGAGCCAGGGGAAGCAGATGGTTTCTGTGAGGATGCAGCACAGTTACACAGAGCTCCAGCACGTCCAGGACCTGGGCAGGAGGAGCAGGCAACAGACCTTGAGCATTGCAGCACCAGGCATCCAGGTGAATCCCCAGTGACATGCCAGGAGAAAGGAGGGTTTAATACAAAAGGGTACAGTTTTGTCCCAGCATGAGCTGGGTTAATTGGGCAATGCAGAGAGCACAGGCCTGGCTGGAAAGGGACAAGTAGCACAGTGACATAACCTGTACTGGGCTATGAGGCCAGGCTGGTACCAAGGCACAGATTCTGCAGGCTGAGCTGTGCACCAGGACCCTGCTCCTGGGCAATGGGAGCAGGATCACCTGGCAGGGCTGAGGCCCTGGTGGCAAGAATCTGGGTTATGCCTCACTGCTGCATGTTCTGTCTCGCTTTGCAGTCCAAAAGGAGGCCACCTTCAAAGGATTTTCGTAATTAAAAACCCCTCACCCCAGGCTTTTAGCTGTGCTTATCATCCCCAGCACCTTCTGAACTGGTCCTGCATGTGCACTGCAGGCTGAGGAAGGGGGATGGGAGAAAGATGCTTCTGCTTCCTCCACCAAGGCTGAGGCATAAGACCTGGCTATCGTGAGCATCAAGGGAAGGTGCTGATGCAAAGCCACGCTGGCTGCCATTCCTAAACCAGACAGCTCCTGGAAAACTGCCCCCCTTTCCCCAGGCAGACCTGGGGAGTCTGTTCTGAACAAGCCTATGGCAGGAAGCCCCACACACATCGTGCAGGTGCTGCCAAGTACCAGCCCCCTCTCGGCCACCACCCATCCCCTCGGCGCTGGTGCTCACCCACCTTGAGCCGCACGCGGAGGCTCCCGTCTGACAGCAAGTGGATGCACCTCTCTAGCACATCTTTGGCCAGCTGAGCATGGCTGGGCAGGGGAGCTTCTCCTTCTGTGTCACAGTTGTTTGGCTCTGGCTTACCAGTGGGGGGAACCTCATCTGGAAGGCAAAACCATTACTGGGGCCGTGAAAATGACTTGGGAGATCACAACACCCACCCACAACTACTCTGCAGATCCCCAGGGGAGGCCTTTGGTATTTTAACACATGCAGATATAGGCAAGTCCATGCTTGAGTCCTGTGAGCTAAGTGTCAGGTTCAGCTGAGTGTGGGGCTAGGGAAGGTTTGCTTTCTTCATTGGACAGTGCAGCTGGTGTGACATTTGCAGGCCCTCCTCACCATGGACTTGTTTGCCATTGATTTTTATGAGAAGTGAAAAGCCTGAGTATTTAAAGCTGAAGTGTTTAAAGGTCAAGATTGCAGCGTAGCCCAGTAAAGACTAAAAATTCCCTATAGTTGTGTCTGCAAGGCCTGTCAAGGCCAAGTGAGAAGGGAGTGGTGGCATCATTAGCCAGAGAAACTGGCACAGGTATTCCCAAGGGAGAGCAAGGAAAGTGTAGTAGGATCCTGGGGAGAGGAGACTCTGGGTCCTGAACCCAAATGAAAAGGGAAAAACCACAGTGTACTCGTGTCTTAGAGCCACGTGAGCCTCGATCTGCAAACATTTCACTCCTCCCTGCACAGAACACAGCAAGAGCACCCAGCAGCACCGTATGTGAGCCGGGTCAGCTCAAAGCAGACCTGAGACTGCCGGGAGGGCACCAGACCTTCAGCCTGGGGCCGGGTCCCCCACGTGACAAAAGGAAATGCCAGAGGGCCCTGTCTTTCTCCAAGTTGAACACCCTCTTCTCCAGCCAGGCCCAGCACTGACCTGCCTCCTCATCCCCCGTGTCGGGAACATCACCCTCTGCGACCTGCTTCTGCCTGACATAGTCCAGGAAGAACTGCTCCACGTCGTGCGCTGTCACCGCCTGCGGCCCCTGGGACGAGGTCCTGCTCTGGCACTCAGTGCTCTGCTGCTGCTCCTCACTGCAGGATGAGCCAAACCACTGGGCTGCAAGAGAGGAGCCGAGATGTCACCGAGCAATCGCGATCCCCTCCTGCAGGTCAGCGAGGTACCGCGGGCTCCTGGGGGCAAACAGGACTCGCCAGTGCCGTGGGACTGAACTACAGAACCGGGCGCCTGGTGTCGCATCACTGTGACCTCCCTGACGGGATGAGAATGTTAAACCCCTGATACAAAAAGGAACACACTCCATGTGCTTCTGCAGAACACTTATGGGAGCAGTAAACCCATCCTTTCTCAACCACAAAAGCCACATTCCTGCAAGGTCTGCAGGCCAGACACAAACTGGTTGTGGAGAGGGGAAGCTATTGGCCACCTTTGCTTGAGAGCTGGCCCACCAAGCAGTGCCAAGCTGCCACCACCTCAGCTACTTGTAATCTCCCATGGCAAGTCAAAAGGCCAAAGACAAGTCCCCTTAGAGTAAGGCTGAATGATGCAAAGTAAAGGTTGTTTAGATACCTAAAGCTGTCATTACTGAGTGCAGGACCCTGAGGAAGGTGGAAGCCTGGCTGCTGTAACACTGATCTAGCGTCAACAGGACATCTTGGATAACGTCTTCTACCAGTGGCAGCAAGCTGGCATCTGAATGCCTCAGCATAGTGTCCAGCACCCGGCAGGCACGTGGCTGCCGTGCCAGCTGGCGCAAGCCCAGCGAGATCCCGTTCACCAGATAGTCGGAGTTGTCATTAACCAGAAGCTGTACGGAGCCGTAGCCACAGGCCTCGCACACGGCTGCCAGCGTCCCCAGCGCTGTCTCGCTGACCAGCAGAGTCTTGTCACCAGCCTTCTCCAGCACGGGGTACAGAGCCGTCAGCAGGAGCAGCCGGAACTCCTTCCCAAGGACAGCAGCAAAGCAGCTGACCCCTTCCAGCTGGATGCACATCTGCCAGATGTTGCTGTTCATGGTGCGGGTCGTCACGTGCGGCTCCGGGGATGGAAGGAGAAGGGAGCTGCCCACCCCCCCCGCCCGGGCAGGGAGTCCTGCGTGGTGCACAGGGTGCTGCTCCTGGCTGACTTCTTCTCCATCAACGCTCGTGATCAAATACCAGTTCGCCTGGTCTGTGTACTCATCGAGAATGGATGTTATGGACCCTTTGAGGTCGTCCGTGTTCGGTGACACCTCCCTTTCCTGGAGGACATCCACTCCCACCCCAGCAGCTCCTGCAATCAGCTCGTTGAGGACCATCGCTGCCTGCTTTCGGTACGTGGCGGATTCGCTGTACAGCCCCATGAAATGATCCACGAGCAAATAGAGGTTCCCGTAGTAGCCAAGCACACGACACACTTGCTGAAGGAGCTGGAAAACCTTCTCCTCTGTGAAGAAGCGGAAGTATTTCTTCTGGCAGCTGCCTTTGTGCACACCGGGCTGCAGGGAGCCCTCGCAGACCCAGCGTCTGTCCTCCACTATCTTCACATCCGTCACGTCCAGCTCCAGAACCTGCATCAGTGCCTTGGACAGGCGGCGGAGGTGGGATGCGGAGTTGAGGACAACGTTCATCTTAGGGCCCAGCAGCTTCAGGTAGCCGAGCAGCAAGCTCAAAGTGGAGATCTTGCCCACGTCATCCTGAGAGCTCATCAGGCGAGGAAGCGCTGTGGCGAGGGAGTGGAGGTTCTCGGAGAGGACATCAGCCAGAGCCCTGCTCTGTGCTATGATCCTCTGCTCCGCGATGCCCCGCAGAACCTCGTTACATCTGCTCCGGACGTCGCTGCTTTCGTCATTAACCAGCCCCACCAAGGCCTTCAGGAGGTGAGTGAAGGAGCCCCCCAGTGAATGGCTGCAGTTCCTCAACAAGTGGTGGACCAGTTCCACCAGCTCCAGTCTCACTTTCCAGTGGGGGTGGACTGAGGAGAATTCAACCATTTTATGCAGGAGGAGAGACAGTTTTTCGGCCGTACTTTTGCTCCAGTCAGGTCCTCTGTGGACCATTAGTTCTGATATTCTGCTTTGCTTCTCTGGCAGCTTTTCTTTGCTCTTTGGGACTCTGGCTAGCTGTGCATCGGCCATCACCAGGCCAACAATCAAGTAAAAGAGCCTGATGGCAGACACCGTGGGTTTGTGCCCTTGTTTGATGTCTCCGGTAACGACCCGAGACAGGGAAATGGAAATCCCAGGCAGAAAAGAAGCGAACAAATCCCCGCATTGCTGCGCCTCGTCGTCGCCAAGGGGCCGGTGCTCCCGGCAGTCGCACTGCAGGACCAGGACCTGCAAACACTTCAGAGCAGAGACCTTGAGCTGCTTTGCTCGCTCCTGCTCCGCCAGGCCCAGGAGCAACGACACG